GGGGGTGAGGGGAGGACCTGGCCGGGTGCACGGACACTGAGAGTGGAGAACACGGGGGTGAGGGGAGGACCTGGCCGGGTGCGTGGACACTGAGCGTGGAGAACACGGGGCCCGGGAGAACCTAGCTCGTGTGGACACTGAGAAGTGTCTACGGATACCTGGCAACTGACCCCAAAGGTCAGGGCGTCTGACTCAAGGGAACATGACGTTCCCTTGAGAGTAAGGCTCAGGAAACACCTCTGGGCTCTGTGCTCCATGGAAACGCCCACGTGAAAGACCACTGACTGGTGCTATTTCCTTCCCACTCACCTTTTTAGGGTCCATGTTAAATTTTTTCCTGCCCATGGCTACCTGTTTATTCCTCTGCATGTTTTTCCTGTAAAATAACCAGCACAGCCACGTTAGCACTCACGGTAACCGGGAAGGATGAAAGATGAACTTGAGTCCCCTGTGCGCCCACTGACAGCAGGTTGGGGGTGCTCTATCCGGCAAACAGCAGGCATAAGCTTGGCTGAAAGGTCACCTGAAGCCCTGATCCTGGCCCATGCCCATTGCTCTCTCTACACGGTGGCTTTCTTACGTTTAATTAAAACAACAACAACACTTTATTAAGGTATAATTTATATACCCTACAAGTACACCCACCTGACGCATCCACAGTTGATAAACTACACGACTGTCACCATAATCCAGTGTTAGAGCATGCTCGTCACCCCAGTAAAATTCCTCACAATTGCTTACAGTCACTCCCCCTTCCAACCCTGGGCCTGGCAGCCACTGGTCATCTTCCCGTCTCCAGATCTGCTTCCTCCAGACACAGCAAAGAACACAACCACACACACTGTGGGTTTGCGCCTGGCTCTCTGACTTAATAGAATGGTTTTGAGTTTATGCATGCTTTGGTACTTACCAGCATTTCACTTCTTTTTACAGCTAAATAATATCCCAATAAGGAGCCCTGTGCAGTGATGGATAAGCACTGAGCTGCTAATCAAAATAGCATCCTGCTAAGGAGCCCTTTGGGGCAGTGGGTAAGCACTGGGCTGGGCTGCTAACCTGAAGGCCAGCAGTCTGAGCCCAGCCAGTGACCATGTGGAGCGAGACCTGGCGACCTGCCCCGGTGAAGACCACAGCCTAGAGGCCCTATCAGGCAGCTCTGCTCCGTCAGGCACGGTCGCCACAGGCTAGAACTGACTTGACAGCGCACATACCACCAGCACCAACACCATCCTGCTGGACGGATCCTCCCCACTCTGTCGATCTGGTCACCAAAGTGATGGGATTAGGTGGTTTCCAGTATGGGGCTAGTAGGAGTCATACTGCCGCCAACAGCCATGGACAAGCTTTGTGTACTCTCAAGTCTTCAAGTCTCTCTCAGGCAGATGCCCAGGAGTGGACGTTGCTGGGCTGTGTGGCGCATTTCTGTTGAACTCCTTAAACTGCCAGACGAACAGGGCTTCTCTTGACTACAACAGAATGAAACATGCCGACTCCCAGATCAGCCCACTCTGAGTGGGGTCCACACACCTCAGCACCTGCGCTCTGCCTTGTACCTTAGCCCTGCCCAGTTCAGAGTCACAGCTCTAGACCACTGCCCTAAATGTCAACAAACTACAGTCCGTGGGCTACACCCTGGCCCTCACATGGTTTTGTAAATAAAGCTTTATTGGAACACAGCCACACCCATTTGTCTGCATGACAAGGCAGTGTTGAGGAGTTGCTAAGAGACCAGAGGGCCCCTCTAGAGAGCAAGGTTAGCAAACCCTCAACCCAAACAGCACCCAGACAGCACTATAACAGACATCTGCAAGCCTTCCTGGTAGGAAACAGAATAATGACACAGTATGCTGTTATTCCAAGCAGCTCTGAACGTAGTAAAACCAAGTTGCATCAGTTCTGAGTCCAGGAAGATGACTTTAATCGTTATTTCCAAACAAATGCTACAGAGAACAGCCTAGCTCATGACTTCCGGTGGGTGATGTGGCAACTTCACGGGCACCTACAGACGCAAGACGGGGACTGCTCCTGGGTGGCACTGCCTCACCTGGGCCTCAGCGGGGGCTTTCCTGCAGCCCCCAGCAGGGGTAGTGCAGAGAGCCCTAAGCCCAAACACACTGTAAGTGTGTGCCGATCACAGCCATGCCCTTACCTGGGACACGGATTTCACCAGCTGCTCAGCTGGTTCCTTCGAAGACCCATCCCTCCGGCTCAGGGCCTGGAGCTGTTTCTCTGAGGGGCTCCCCCCATCTTCTGCATGCAGTCTCTGCACCCCAAAAGGACATCCCGAACAACACAGTCATGTTACTGTTTCTATCCCCCGCCCCTGAACTAGGACGTACAAGCTTTGGACGGATTGAAAGCCTGCAGTATGTACATATGATTTCTATTTGTTTAAACAGCATTTAGGGTCATTTCTACAAAATGGTGGCATCAGGCCTTTGATTAAAAAATGACAGTACTCCTGTGGCAAAGTCAGAACCAAGGCAGTGGTGCCGACCCGGAGAACACGTCCACCCAGTCAGAACTTCTATCTCTTTTTAGGATCCACAAGTCACTCCCCTGTTCAGGGCTTTCAATGCTGGAAAACCATCTGAGGTCCCAGATTTTTTAAAAAATAGCCTCATTGTCACACCTGGACCCATAGCTTTGGATAGTGATGAAACTCAGAAATCCTTGAGAGCTGGCAGGGATTCACACAGTGACCCCTCTTTGGGTTTCCAAGGAGGTATCTCTACAGAAGTA